CCTGCAACTGTTCGTTTCAGCCTTCAAGTCTATCTAAATCACATTATATACACTATCCCCACTCCCCATACAACTCAGCCTGTGTTGTTATGACCACACTCACATGCCCATCTCCAAACAAACACTAAAGTGAGTATGAAAGCTCTGACAAGTGAACAATAAGAAGAAATGTTATCACGAGCTCTCAGAGTCCATGTCAAAGAGAGGTCACGTGCAATAACCACTGAGATTAGGAAAATTTCCTGTGATCAGGGAAACTAAAAATCACTAGGCACATTTGGTAAAATCAGTCCAATTTCGATGGGCTTCAGCCCCAACCAAGAGGAATGAAACACACAAGTCTGACATTACAGATCAAATGGGCAAGGTGTGTGTGCCATGAGTACTTGCTGATTTATTACCAGTATGTGTCATTTACATGATAGGAATATACTAAGCAAAGAGAAATATTTTTTCTTTCTTTCTTAAAATAACTGACCATTTTTAGATAAATAAGAAGGATAATTTTAGACAGATGGAACTATAGAAACTGTGGTGGCACTCACTATGTGAGTTAAGGGCTTATAACTGCCATTGCACTCTGCCTTGCTTAGGTAGAGCCACTGAAATCTTCCCCATAAAAGGCAGATTTCTGATCAGGAATCATTAAGGATGATTCTAATACAGATGACCCTGGCCATCCTACTTGCTGATGCAGGGTGAAGAGTGAGGAGACAGTTTACTTTATGCACAAAAGGACAAAGGAGAGAATATCCATGCTGCCCTCGAAGACGAGAGAGTCAGGGATCAGATTGAGTTTTTGTTTCTCAGTATTTTGTAGTGAAAATAATTTGTGCGCCAGGAATTGTCCCAAGTACTTTATATGCATGAGCTCATTTAATCTTGCAATTCTACAAATAAAGTATTATGATCACCATTGTACAGATATAAAATGGAAATTGTATAAACTTCTGAGGTTACTGATGTAGTCAGTTGATGAAGCTGGGGGAACACCCAAGAAAATTTGACCACATTGCCTTAACCACTGCACCATACTGCCCTTAACATAAACAATGCTAAGTGTTCAGGAGAGACACGTGGCCTTGTGATTGTTTTACCGACTGGATCACTTTGATTTTGACCTCCTCTCCCTCCGTCTTTTCCTTCTTTCCCTCTTTGCTGCCTTTCTCTCTCTCTTTTAGGATACACTCTGTGGGCTAATGGAATATCTCTTACATTTCCTTACAAATATGAATGAGACACAGAATCAAAGGGCCATTTTGATATTTCATTATTGCTTCCAGGCTGAGTGCACACTCTTGAAGAATAGTAGGGATTTGTTCTACTCGTTATTTGCTAAAACCTTTACCCAACAGAACGTTAAATCTGTGATTATGAAGTGGAAGCATGCATTATAAAAATTGAAAAATAAAACAGTAAGAAATACAGAAGAATGATGGGGAGGGACACGCACAGGAGGGAGGGACGGTGCTAAGTACCACTGCGCTCCTAAATACATGGAAATGGAATTTGTTCCTTTTTAAATACACTTTTAAAGCTGAATTTAAGGACACATAATTCTTTCTGTAATGCAATGATTAGAAAATAGAAAAACTCAACCAAGTAGTAAGGAGGCAAAATCCTTATTTCTCAAGAGCCCAGACAAGAGCTATGGAAAAATTATCAAATCTGGAAAGGTCAACTTCACTCAGACACATATTTTGTTTTCTGTATAAATAAACTATGATCTTGTATGTATTCAGGTCAAGTTTTTGATGATAGACTGAGAGTATGTAAATGTAAAAAATAAAAGAAGAAATAAGAAAGGAAGGAGTTAAGAGGGTCTTATGTAGGTGGTATGCAGGATAAGGTGAAATGTATCAGTACGTTCTTAAATCTGTATCTACAGAATACACAAAATGTTGTCACTGTATAAAAGTTTAGCAAATAAAGAACATAGAAAAATTAAAAATCAAAGAATTCTTCTACTGGTTGTCCATAAATCACAGTCTGAAAAAAAATTGAGTTGCAGCTGCTTTTTGTTATTTCCAGGTTCTTATTTGCAAATCTGCTTTCTTACTAACATGCATTTGCCATTTACCCATTGTCGACACTTGCAGGTGAGCACTGAGCCCCTGGGAGTCACGTTGCCCGCTGAGACTACAGCAGGTAAGGCTCTGCCTGCAGCCTGCAAACTATACCCGGCATCCTTTACATGCAAGAATCCATGCTAAGCTTTTGAATTTGAGCTTTCGGGGAGAGGGGACATGATTTCAAAATTTTAAATGACCCCCTAAGATTGAAATGTAGCCCAGTATCTCCAAGTCTAATGCTTAAGAAAGCCATGATGATCTTATGGAGGAAATGTTCTTGCTTGTAAAGCTATGTTCTGGCAGGAGCTATTGAGGTTTTGCCCATGAGTTCAAGATTCATGAACTAATAAAATATTATATAATGCAAATTTAAACAGAAAGACAAGAAAAATAAAGATATATGTTGATGGGCTGATTAAAATACTATGGCCAAAGGCAGTCATCTAATGTGTATTTCCCTCAGGAATTTGGTGTTCACTAATTCAGAGTCCAAGGGAGTGGTTACAGAACATCAGCAGCAGGTGTAACACGGGTCACCTACATCCTGGGATTTCCTGGCTGAGGAAGAGGGGGCAAAGTGTCTGGGCAGACTGGTAAATTGGAAGCAGCAATTCTCGCTCTAGGGCCTTTACGATGAACATGATCGGTCTCTGTAGAGACCACTCACCTCCCAGAAACCATCACTTTTGAAGAAACATGGTTCAGTAGAATTTGTGGGGACAGGCATATGAGCCCTGGGGTAACATTTGGGGCAGGTCTTAAAGCCCAGTGCCATTAGCCAAATGTTAAGGAGTCAACAAGAAAAAGTAGGTGAAGGAAATATTATGAACAATAAACAACATCAATTATTTCTATTATTCCAATCTCACATTTCTCAAGAACATTATTCAAAGGTCAAAGTGAATTTAATGCCCTCTTCTTTCACATTGGGGAAATATTCAGAGATCTTTCAGTCAATAAAATATTTTAATATTAAATTTGGCTGCTGAAATTTAAAGAAAAGCAGATGAGAATGAATATATTTGTTGTCATCAAAGACATTATAAACATCTACCTGTTACTAGCTACATACTGAGCATGGAAGAATATACAGAGGCAGGAACAAATAGGGAACTTGAAAATGCATTCATTCTCTGTAATTAATTTTTACTCTATCATCAATATTGGGTAACATTAATTCTCTAAGTTATATGTCATCTCTAAGAATTAGTCCTTGAATGTGTAAGGATTTTCTATACCATAGACAAGGATATGTCAGGATAAGTGTTTTAGCATGTCCTTAGCTGCTTCCCCAACTACTGTTAATCCTTCCAAAAAATTAGTAAGTTCAATGTTCTGAAAAATCCAGACAGTGCTCAAAGAATCACAGGCTGCCTGGCAGGAGCGCCAGGCTCCTCTGGCAAGGAGAGCACGTCAGGTGCAGTCGTGACCCGGCTGGAGCCCTTCTCACGTGCCTTCTTGCCGACTTCCACGTGTGGCTCTCTAGAGCCGGTTAGTCTCATGCACCTGTGAAGCAGCTAGCGGTGAATACCTCCTAGAAGCAATCCTTAACGAAGAGCTGATGATGTCTAGGAACTGTGTGTTTTACACAGGGTTCCTCCACTGGAGCTTTATCCCAGTTCAAGGCAGTGCTAGACTGATCACAATTTTTGCTGGCTGCCATTCATATCCTACCACTTCTGCAACTCTTCTAATAGGATTTACCTAGTTTTTAAAACAATTTACTTGCAACCAAACTTTTTTCTTGGATTTTCTATAAGGTTTCCTTACAGACTTCCAATCTCCTGACCGTTTGCATTTTTTGTTGTTAAATAATGAATTGGTATTAAAGTTTACACATTAGTCTTTTATCTAGCCTGATCTAACCTGATGATCAAATTGCTATAGCATGCAAGCATTTGATGTTACTCTGGGGAAAACTGGGGGACAAAAAAAGATCTAGGAAGTAAATCCTGGGTCTTCTACTCTTTACTTATGGGCTGTTAATTCTACAAACTACACGCAACTATCCCTTGGCTAAGTGAAGAAAGCATAAACAGTTTCTGCAGGTGGCTGCCATAATGATGGTATGAGAAAACCACAAGCACAACAACTTTTGTGCAATTTTTAAGGACCATTTGCTCTTGGTTCTCAGAAATGAAAGAAGAAAGTGCCTATCATTACATGGCAAAGACATTAGAGGTGGTGAGAGAGAAGGAATAGACAGAGAGGCAGAGAAAAGGGGACCCGGCAGATAGAAGGCAGAGATAGATGGTTCCCAGTAACTTCAGCATGTTCCAAAAGTAGTACAGGTATTTTGGCTTCTACCAATAATGTACTTTTCCATAGCAATGACCTTGGAGATACACAATAACATTTAAAGCCATTCCTTGTTCATTTCACATCACTAACACTGGAAACCTGAATGAAACCATCTCTACAAAATGAATCTCCTGATGAGTGAAATAACCAGACTCTAACCAGTCTCTGCCTCATTTTACACTCTAGGAAATCTATTATAGTTAGACAACACTTGCTTGGGTCTGAGAGCCGCCATGGAAACTAGGGGGATAGCTCTTATGATTTTGTGGCTAAGCTTACAGTGTGCTCTGACTTAATTTTTTAAATGTGTTTTTCCATGTTATGTGTAATATAACAAAATTACATTTACAACAAAATTTTTATTACATACTCATATTACTGTTATAGGGTAGCATTGTATGTAGTGTTTAGACTCAGCAATCTTTTATTCATATGCCCCCTAAGTCAAAAATTCAAGGATATGAAGGCATTTATGAACCTAATTTTATACTGTTTTTAAGTCAAATTGTATACTACTTTCTGCTTATCTTTATTTTTACCAGCAAGGTTTTTTTAAATAACTAGAACAAGAAAAGTGGGTGAAGAACCACGTTGCATGCAGGGAGTGTGAGACGTGAATGCTCCTACCTCCACAGACCACACCATCTAGGTCTTCACAGCGCCGGTCGTCACATTCGCAGGTCTTCCCATGCACCCTCTGGTCTCCGGGAGGGTAGCAGCTGCATTTCCCACATTCGCATTTCCCTGGAAAAATGCAGAATGGACTTTGTAGGACAGTCACGGTACCAGAAAGGCTTTAGAAGAGACAAGCATAGTTTTCATCTCAAATTTTCAGGGCCAGTTCTCACTTGTGTCTCATGATAACTTGACAAATAACTTTGTGATATCACACGGTACGCTGAAGGCCAAGCACAAATGTCAAGGTGGTTGAGAGCACACATGCTGATTTATGGCTCAGAGTTATTCACACTTAACATTCCCTATTTTGTTTCATTCATAAAAAAAAAAAGTTTGATTATGAAGCTTTCTGGCTATTTCAAATCCATTTAGTTTGATGAGTTCACTTAAAGTAGCCTGAGTTGGTATTCATTCTACTAGTTGAGATACCAGCTAAGATGCCTGCATCCCACAAGGGACTGCCTGGGTCGGATACCTGAATTGACCCACTGACTCCTGCTGCCTGCTCTCCCAGAAGGCATGGGAAACACTGCGGATGATTAAAGTAACTAGTTCCTGCTATCTATGCAGCAGACTTGATTCGAGTTTCTAGGCATTTTGGGGAGTAAACGGATGGCTGGGGATGTTTCCTCCCACCTCTGCTTCTCAAACGAATAAAAATTACAGTAAATCTAATTTACAATTTTGGCATAATTTTGCATAATATGGGTCTTTTAAAACTAATTTGAAACTGATTAGTTACATGAGAAACATTTTCATACGTACATTTATTTTTGTATTTGTATTATGATGTCCATGATTCAGTTTTGTAAGTACAGGGATTCCCACCTCCACCTCTCATTCTTCCCTCCACATTGTCTCCCCACAACCTTTTCCTCCAGATTATTACAACACTATAGTCTTTCAGTGACAGTCACAAGTCCAACATTCTGGGCCATATGGTAGTTCAATTTACAGCTCACTTAGCACTCTCTATACTGACTTCCAAGGTTTCTTCACTGACCTGCACTCCACCAAGAACAGAGATGTACCTCCCCCCCACATCCACACCAGCAGGTGTTGTTAGTAGGGTTCTGAATGTAGCCCAATGGAGTTAAAGGCAATCTCAACGTAGTTTTCATTTGTATTTCCCTAATACTTAGGGAGCCTGAGCATTTTTTTTCACACTTTTATTAGCCATTTGACTTTGTTCTTTTGAAAAGTGCCTGCTCATTTCCTTCACCTATTTCTTTGCAAGGCTATTTGGTGTGTGTGAGAGAGAGAGAGAGAGAGAGAGAGACAATTTAATGACTATTTGTAGTTAATCTCACAGTTTACAGAAATTTGCAAAAGTTTCTTTACAATGGAATAATGACCTAAATTCCTTATTTTCAACTTACATTTTAAAAGTACAAGCTTTATTTGGGGGGATGAATTTGGGTCATAATTTAGCAATCCCTTAATTAGTCAAGTTATGAATATTTTCAAATCAAACGTTTAGTATACTTTATTTGTAAAGAGCTATGAAACCCATATCTACAAATCCTCCCTAAGGTTATTTATTATGACTTTCATCATTATTTCTTAAATTGTAACAATGTATAGAACATCATAACTCTATGTTACATTATTCCCTTTTCATAATATCATTGCACTGGCATTTTTATTTACTCTCTAAGGAACTGAAACATAAGAAATATTCCATGACAAACAGGTTCAAATTTTACATCCACTCTTTTTAACCTTAAAATTGGGTACCCAGACAGTATCATAAAACACTCATAATGTAGCATTAGGAGGCTACATGAGAAAAAAAGTCCTTTTGTCTGAGAAATCAGTACCAGCTTGCCAGCTATTTAGCTAGGTGACAACACTCCGAGACATCTGTTACTCTGTCATTAGCCCAACCATCATAATTACACATCCACTGAAATGATGCTAAGACACTTCAGGGCTGACCTGGAAATGTGGTTAGTCATTCTATTGCTATACTTGCATCTTGTTCAAGAAATTTTCATTTGTTACACGATAAAGAAAAACAGGATTTAGAATCCTGTTTTCAGAGGTGTGATTAAGTATGGTCTTAATGCAGTGATTCACAACCCTTTCTGGCAGAAGCATGGAGTCACAGTCCCTTTGACAATGTCGAGATATGGCACCAGCCTCCATTGCTCTGGCTGCCCTCCAACGAGTCTCTCTGCTTGGAGGTGGAAAGTATCCCCACATCCTGGAAAAGGTAGGGCTCACTCCTTCCCCCACTCCCACTCCATTAGAATGCCCGCAGACACAGCTCACTGTTTGTAAAAGATTTCTCTTGAGTTTGGGAGCAAACGGGTGTGAGCCATGGCAGAGAGGCAAGTGTCATGACATAGCAGTGAGTATTCAGAGAGGAGAGTTTAGCTTGAAGGCAGCCGGCATTCAGAAGTGAAAGCCACAGAACTGGTACTTTCAGCGTGCTTTGCTGCATTTGGAAGCTCATAGTCCAGACCTGCATTTGGACACTAAATCACTTTAATGAAAATTTTATAAGGTTGGTTTCTGTTGTTTGTATCAAGAATCTTATTTGGTGCAGAAGTGGAAGGTAAGGGAGTTATAGAGAAGTTGGACAGAAAAATTATTAAATTCAGTCAAGTATCAAGAATACTCCCAAGAAATCCTTTGAACAACTTGAATAAAATTCACACAATATATTGTATCTTGGAAATCACTGAGTGAATATATTCATAAGTATGGAAATTAAGTCCACTAATACTCAATTTATCCATTCTATAATTTACACATTTCAAAGCATCATGTTGTCCATGATAAGCACATAAACTTCTGCCATTTTGAAAAATTAAACTCAGATCTTTCACTGGTAAAACTAGTCAATACACCTTATTTTTTTTTTTACATAAAATGTCAGGATTCATGATTTCATTCAATTTTCTTAACAGATGGAACACAAGGACATGAGTCAAAATGATTTATCTCAAGCCAGCTAGCTAAATCCTTGCGATGGTAATGCTGAAACCCAGAATTCCTGATCTCTGTCACTTCCTGATGTTCCTGAACACTGTACCCATCTTCATGGATGGATGTGCCAACGATCCAGTAATGCAGAATGTGAACAGAAAGACACACACACATACACAGCTGCTGTTGGTTTTCCAGTACTCTTGTCTCCATTACACCATTCATTAGGGATATTACACATGTATATGTGTTTATCTACCTGTCCTTATGTATTTTGGAGGAAAGTTGTGTTACACCACATAGAACATGGTATTTGTCCTTTTGGATTGGCTTATTGAGTGTGATGATTTCTAGTTGTTACCACTTATAAATGGTAGCATGTCATTCCCTTTAATGGTCGAGTAGAATTCAACAAAGTGGAGATCTCAGTGTCTGTAAGCAGTCCTCTTGGTATATATTCTCTACTCCTAAGTAAAAGGCCCAGAAGAAAACTGTTAAATATACCTTGACAACAAAATACTAGACTGTTTATCATAGCTTATATCTATAATGTCATGGCACACATGAAGAGCAGGAAGCTGGAGTTGAGACTACAGCTGAAGGACTATGTTAGTGTAAAACACAGGGAACAATGGACAGAAAGGAAAGGGAAGGAAAATGGGGAAGCCCTATACCTACCAACTGTATCATGAAAAATAAGAGTTTAAAAAGAGACACACACACACACTACAGAATGTGCCTCAGTGCTCTCTGGTCCAGCCACTCTTTTACAAACCTGGGAAACTGCTACCATCAAGAGCTTTATTCCTGAGAGAAAAAAGCATGAACTTACACAAAGACAGAACTATTGTGTAAGTTTCAACTCAAAGGTGTTTATGTCGGTCAATGTATTTAAATTACAAGGCAGTGAGTAGATTTTCCAGAATGAGCATTTTGCTGTCTAGGCCTCTTCAGAAACTTACGTTATTCCTCTAGGCGTCAGCATTTTATTATGTTGGTGATGAATCATTTCTTCTTTCTTACATGCAGCTTATTAGCAAAGTGTTAATATACTGTGTTTGAAACATTTACTTTCCTGATAGATTTTGATGCATGTATGCTTTTATATACCAGTGATGTCTGATGGACAGCTAAAATATGATACAACAGGGAAGGCTAATTTAAACAGAAGTAAAGAAAATGAATTCCTCCTGAAGTTCACATCTTACCCTGTATTGTTTTAATGTCTCAGCTAACAACTTCTACTTAGTCTTTCCAAGTGTAGGTCAGATACCATCATACACCTGCCACATAAACTGCCAATCAGGTTTCTAGGTCAAAAGTACTTTGCATGACAATTCATCATTTTACTCCAGCACATTCACAGATACAGCAGAATTAACTGCTTCTGATTCATCAATATGTCTCAAACCAATGTTTATTGAATGGATGTATCAGGCAGCAATCATTCATATGTAGTTGACTAATACTCTAATGCATCAGTTGTTAAACTTCATTATTACATAAAAGATACATTTCACATACTTCAGATTCACATCCAAGAAGACAATGACCTGTTGCTTTTCTTTCCCTTCCCCCAATCCCCTTACACGTTTCCCCGTTTTTCTCTTTAATTTGCAGACCATTCTATACTTACAGATTTGATACATCACTAAATGCAATATTCAATAAGAAGTATAAAAACCACACTCTCTCAAGAGTATAAACGAGAGCAGATTGCAAGTTGACTGTTCCAGGCCTGCATAGTTTTGCACTCTGTCTGATCTACTACATACAGGAGAAAACATATGCTCTTTGTATCTTTCAGATTGGATTGTTTTAATGAAACGGGATTTGAATTAGGATGTGTCTCTCAGAATAAATGTATATTTCCAATCACCTAAGTACTTGCATTTGTGTTTACCACAGTAGCAACAATTAAGTGTGTTCCACATCGCTATTCATAAACTCATCCAGGTCCTTCACTGGAGAGAAGTTCACTATGATCGAATCTGTCACTGACTCTAAAGTATCTTAGTACATATCTGATATTTACTTTTTGTGCCTGTCCTCTTTTGAAATTGAAACTTCACAAAATCTACTATCTTACAACACTTACAAGATTTACACAATTCACTCATATAAATTCAAGT